CCCCCCCCCCCCCTCCCCCCCCTCCCTCGCCTCCCTTCGCCCCCTCCTCTCCCCTCGCCTCACCTGCCGCCGCCCCCCCCTCTCCCCTCGCCTCACCCTCCCTCCGCCTCCCCCTCGCCGCCCCGCGCAGCAGCGACGCGGTCCTCACGGCGCAGCTGCGCGTCGCCTCCGCACTCACCGCCCTCGAGGCCAAGAAGTTCCGCGCCGCTTCCTCGAACCTTCCTGGAACCTTCCTGTAGGCACTCACCGCCCTCGAGGCCAAGAAGTTCCGCGCCGCTTCCTCGAACCTTCCTCGAACCTTCCTGTAGGCACTCACCGCCCTCGAGGCCAAGAAGTTCCGCGCCGCCGCGCGAAAGTTCGTCGAGGTGTCGGTCGAGCTGGGCACAACCTTCTCCGAGGTTTGCTCGGTGAGCGGCGGTCGCACTCTCCCGCGCGCCCTCTCCTAGCCCTCTCCTGGAGCCTCTCCTGGAGCCCTCCTGTAGGTGAGCGACGTCGCACTCTACGGCGCCCTCTGCGCGCTCGCCGCCTTCGACCGCGCTGAGCTGTCGGAGCGGGTGGTGAAGAACAGCGCGTTCCGCTCGATGCTCGAGCTCTACCCGGAGGTGCGAGATGTGCCGCGAGATACAGATCTCGAGCGATGCTCCCTCCCTCCGCCTCCCTCCCGTCGCGTGCGAGCGGAGGGCCGTGTCTCCCCCGACCACAGGAGGTAGTACAGCTGCATCACAGGAGGTAGTACAGCTGCATCACAGGAGGTAGTACAGCTGCATCACAGGAGGTAGTACAGCTGCATCACAGGAGGTAGTACAGCTGCATCACAGGAGGTAGTACAGTTGCATCACAGGAGGTAGTACAGTTGCATCACAGGAGGTAGTACAGTTGATCAACACACCGGCGCGCGGGATCGTCGCACGGCTTCCAGTTAATTAACAGATAATTGACAGCTGATTGAGAGCTAATTAACAGCTCATTAAAATCAGGCGCGCGAGATCGTGCACGACTTCCACTCCTCTCGCTACGCCTCCTGCCTCGCCGCCCTCGAGACGCTGCGGCGCGACGCTTCGCTTGCGAACGTGCCGCCCTCCCCGCCCGCGACACGTCCGCGACACGTCCGCGGCGCGTCCCCGCAGGCCGGACCTGCTCCTGGACTTGCACTTGCGCCCGCACGTCGACCAGCTGTACGCCGACATCCGCTCCAAGGCGCAGATGCAAGAGCTCATTGATTAACAGCTAATTAACAGCTAATTAATTAAGCTCTCCGCTCCAAGGCGCTGATTAGTCAACAGCTAATTGACTAATTAATGAAGCTCTAACATCCCTCCAAGGCGCTGGTCCAGTACTTCTCGCCGTTCGTGGCGGTCGACTTGTGCCGCATGGCCTCCGCATTCAACGTCGAGGCGCGGCTGCCTCGTGAGACACCTCGAGATGGCCTCGAGATGGCCTCGAGATGGCCTCGAGATGACCCGAGATGGCCTCGAGATTTCCCGAGATTGCCCGAGATTGGCCGAGGTGCGGCGGCCCTCGTGAGAGGGGGTCTGGGAGCTCGCCTGGTGAGAGGCAGAGGCTCCGCACTCGCAGGTGGACAGCCTTAATTATTAATTAAGTAATTAATCACTCGCAGGTGGACAGCCTCGAGAAGGAGAACCCTCCTCCAGCCCCTCGGCGAGCCGAATGAACTCTTAATCAGCTCTCAATTGGCTGTTAATTAACAGGAGAGCTTGCCAGCCCTCGGCCTGCCAGGCCGCCTCTCGGCCGCAGCTCGGCCGCAGCTCGCGGCTGCACATCTCGGCTGTAGGAGATCGCCGCCCTGATCATGTCGGGCTTCGTTACTTAATTAATGATTAATTAATCACGCGGCTGTAGGAGATCGCCGCCCTGATCATGTCGGGCTGCATCCCAGCGCGCATCGACTCGCAAGCGAAGGCTCTCTCTCGCCAGCGCCAGCCCGCCCACCCCGGCACTTCCCTCCCGCAGCGTCCACTGCCTCGGACCAGGTGCTGCACGCAAGGCACGCCGACCAGCGGAACGCCACCTTCGTCAAGGCGCGGGCCGCCGGGGAGGCCGATCTCGCACGATCTCGGCCGATCTCGGCTCGCCCCTTCCCCCGCAGGCACTCGCCACCGGGGAGGCGTACATGAGGGACACAAAGGCGCTGCCACGCCTCAACCTGCCAAGGAAGAGTGAACTAACAGCTGAGTAAGAGCTGATTACGAGTCAATTAGGCGCTGCTCCTCCGCCTCAACCTGCTCCGCGCCGATTTCGCCGTCAAGGGCAGCGGCGACTCGTCCGGTCCGCCAGAGTCTGTCGCGGCAGAGCACCGGCGAGGAGCCGCGAGGAGCCGAGAGGAGCCGAGAGTAGGCCCGTCGAAGTCGTCGCGGCAGGAGCGGGCCGAGGCGCGTGCGTTCGGAGGAGCGTGAGATGCTGTCGAGACCGCCGCGCCGGCGGTCGGGGGAGGCCGATGTTGGCCGCCGGTGCCGGCCGGTGCCGCCTGTTGTGCAGCACAACGTGGACCGTCCCCGCCCCTGTGCTCTGCTCTGGGCTTGCGCTGCTCCTCGGCGCAGGGGCGAGAGCGGGATTGCGCATACGTTCGTTTGGAGTCTTGTCCTCTTGAGAGCGAGGCACGCGAGGGGGCGCGGAGAGACAGAGAGCGGTGTTGGCTGTTTCTCTCCCCGCGAGCCAGGTGGACGTAGGAGGCGGTGCCGGTGCCTTCGCCCCTTCTCGTCTGCCGTCGCTGGAGAAACTTTCTTACGGTGTAGTAACTTGCCACTGTTACAGAGGGACTCTATACCTCGTAGCGGGCGAAAAAATTCTTTTTCGAGGTCAACCCGTCATGCGGCAGGTGGCTTGCTTTTTGGCTCGCTGCCACCGCGGTGGGTCACCAAGAGCTTCTCCGCGTGCGGCGTCATCACCACGCGACGCGCTCGCCACGCCTCACCCGGGCAAAAGGAGCGACCGCGCGCCGCCGCCGCCCGCCTCGCCGCGCCGCGCCGCGCCGCGCCTCGCCTCGCCTCGCCTTGCAGCAGCGCACGCGCACACGCACCCGCGCGCCCGCGCTCGCTCCGCGAGAGCGAAGCAACCCTCCACCCGAGTTTCGAGCCGGGAGCCAAAAAACCTGGTTTGTGGAGCTCCCACACCTGTCTAGACAGTCCTGAGCCTGTCCAGACAGCGTCCAGACAGTGTCCAGACAGCGTCCAGACAGCGTCCAGACGGCGTCCAGACAGCGTCCAGACAGTGGCACATGGCTCCACTCTTCACAGCAAAGTCTCGTAGTCGTGGCTGGACGGCCCCTGACAGCACCCCTGGCGCTGCCGAGGCCACTCCCCACCCGCACCCACCCACCCACATACACACCTAGATACACACCGCTCTACTTGTCGGGGCGGGCAGTGCGTCTAGACAGCAGAACTTAACAGAACTTGAGACCTTGAACTTTCAAACTTGTAGTTTTGTCTAGACAGCTGTCTAGACAGGCCCTCTTCACAGAAGATATCGCAGTGCCCGCGAAGGTCAGCAGCAATTGTGGCGGCAACTGTAGGCACTGCCAACGTCGCAACATGCTGCGAAAAGGACAGAGCAAGCGTGGCACGCAATGGTCGGGCGCCATGCTGCTGCCAATGCAGCCATGAGCCCCCCGCGCCGCAGCCGATGAAGAAGCCGCGGGCCGGCAGTAGCCACGTCGACCCACCGCTGCGCAATGGGCAAAGCGCGAGCCCAGCAGTTCAGTCAGACACGAACGCTGCACCGAAGACGGCGGCCTCGGGGCGCGCGCGACCGAACGCGCTTGCGGCGCCGTCACGCCGTCCTTTCGCATCGCCGCCGAACCGCCCTCCCTCCTCCGCGACAGACGCCGCAAACACGGCGCTTCTCGCCGTCCACGCAACAGCAGCAGCTGTGGCAGCACCTATTCGCGTCGCTGGTGCGCGCGGTTTGGCCTCGTCGCAGTCTGGCGGGCGCTCGTCTCGCCCGGACCAGGCGGCGAGCAGGTTTGATCGCGGCCGAGGCGGATGATCGGGATGGGCTCGGGCGGGTGCCGGTGCGCCGGCAAAGGCGGGGGCGATCGGCGAGGCGGCGGCGCTCGCACCTGCAGCTGACGCGCCAGCCGCCTGCCTTCCGGCGGCCTGTGCGCAGCAGGTCTATTCACACCTCACACGATCTTCCACGTCCAGACAGCGTCCAGACAGCGTCCAGACAGCGTCCAGACAGCGTCCAGACAGCGTCCAGACAGCGTCCAGACAGCAAAATAGGAGCGTCTAGACAGCTATTCAGACAGTAATAGCACTTGAGTGTACCCAGCTGATTGAAGTAAAGGGGAATGATGCAGCTGCCTGCCAGAGCAGAAAGATTCCTTAATTCTCTCCACTACAAAAAAAGTCCAAGGCGGAACCGAGATCATGGCCCCGAATGCCGTGCTCTCTAGGTAAGGTGTGGGAGCTCCACAAACCAGGTTAAAAGGTCCCGACTCGAACCGCGAACCGGCTCGACCACCGCCGCTGGCGGTTCTGCAAAGGCACTCAAGGGCAGTGCCTCATATAACGTGAAATAGTGCGAGCGCGCGAGATACTCACCCGACCCACCGTGCCCTCGCGAAGAAGATCCCGCGCCGCGCGCGCTCGCACACGCCGCCCGAGAGCACTCCCACCCCCGCCGCCCTCGCAAGCTCACAGGTTGATTTGAGGAGAAGCAGCTGGGGGAGGTCAAAGCGGGAGAAGGCGGTACGGCGGCGGCGGCGCGGCCCCCCCCCATCCCCACGCCTCCATTACCCCCCAATCAACCCACGCTGTCCCTCAATCGCCACCCGCCAGATGTACTGCCCTCGCCCACCCAATACTCTCACCCTCCTAACCCGGACAGTCCAGGTACAGGAAAAGCGGGGAGCGGGGCCCGATCCAAGGAGCACCCCGTCGGCCCGGGAGGGCTGTGAATTTCGGCGCGGGCGGAAGGCTGCCTGCAGACGCTCAGCCCCTGGCTGAGCTGCCGAATCCTCCCGGCTAATCCCCTGACCTGCCGCCTGAAACGGGACAACATTACACCACCTCACACACACTCCCCCCTCAGGGCTAAGCAGTGCGCAAGTCCACCCGAACTCTAGGCGAGGCGTCGACCACTCCTTCGGAATAGCTCTGTCAGTGGCTGCACTAGACGCCCAGTGATGGCGCGCGGCGCGGGCGGATGACTGGAAGAGAAAATGCGGAGATGCTAGCTCGCAGGTAGATGTGCTCAGCCAAGGGTCGGGGATGAGGGGAATGTGTCAGTGTGAGGGGTGCACCAACCGCAGAGCGTTGTGTTTTGCCTTTGAAAACTGAACAGTTTTTTTTTGTTCAGATCCACGGGCACGGCGGCTCGCCGCCGCGAGCCCACCGGAGAGCTGGGAGCCGCGGCACTAGACCGCGCCGCCAGTGAGGCGAGAGCAGCAGCCGACGACCAGCCGACATGGCAGTTGCAACGGCGGGATTGGTGTATCAATATCTAAAGTTTATTCGCGGCCCGTTCCCTCATCCCTGCGAACGCGCACCCCCCCAGGGCTAGGGCTCTCTAGCCCGTAACCTGATATCGATCATCCGGCCCGCTGGGTGCGCTTCTTAGCTCCCCGGCCCTGGATGTGAGGTTGATGACTGCACTCCAAGTGCTCCAAGTGCTCCGGTACCGTCCAAGTGCTCCGCGCCACAACCTGCATTTTGCGTCGTTCTCCCCGTATCTCCCCGGTCTCTCCCCGGTCTCTCCCTGTGTCTCCCCGTATCATCTCCTCGTGTCTCTCCGCATCTCCGCGTATCTGTCCGCGTATCTTCCCGTATCTCGTATCTCCCGGTATCTCCCTGAGCTGTCCATGGATCACGCGACACGGAGGGCCTCCACGGCAGCGGCGAGAGCGTTGGCACACGCCTCTCCGCTCGGCGGCGTGCTCGCCATCTCTCCCGTCTCCTCGTTGATGTACACGTGCCTCTGCCGCCTCTCGTGGAAGACCTTGACCCAGCCAGCCGGGGGTCTCTAATGTTGCGGGCCGCTGTCAGGCGCCCTCTTTCCTTGCCCCCATTCCAGGCCTCCCCCTGGCCGCCCGCAAGCTTTCGGACCGCTCCCCCCCCGCA